TATAAAGATGGAACTCCCAAGAGGTTGTAGGCTCACTTTAACTTGTGAGTGAAGCTGTGTTCCCTATGAAGCTAAACTTTCTAATGTGTAGAATTAGCACCCAGAAAGACACTCTGTGTGTCAGACCAGATTTGTACAAGCAGGGCCATCACAAATGGGTCTTTGATGATTGCCTGACCCAGAGGGCAGGTAGAGGTAGAAATCCTGGCCAAGTTCCTTCTGCCAGGCTCAGGACTGCCTCTGCCTGGGCCAAAACCCAAGCCCCAACTCTGTTGCTGTTGAGTCAATACCGACTCATACCAAGGGGAGCCTTTTTCCATTTTGCACAAAGATGCTGTGACTCTTCACAAGATAAGTACAGTCTGAGCATCTCCCCATAGAAATTGAGTTTTCCTTCTATAAACTCAGGTGGCTTTTGTTATGGAAAATGTGAAACATTTGTTTCCTGGAGTTCTTGAACTTTCTGCATTTTGTCCTTTGGGGAAGGTGGTGGTTTGGCATGGGGCAGTCAAAGAAGATGGGGAGATGGGAAGGACATAGGCGGGCATATAGAGAAGGGAGAACAAGGAGGAAGGGAAGTGGGGGCTTATTTTTCCTCTGGGTAGGTTCTAGCTGTTTGTTGCCACTGGTTTCAATTAACCCATACTTCAGAAGGTCAGCTTAAGACCCATCTCCTGTTAAGATTTTACCAAACCTCAATTTTTCCTGCTAACCTTTTTCTTTTGCCTCTAATAACCTTCCCTTTCCATACCTATTAGCTGGCACATATATTGCCATGATTGTTAGTTTTTGTTTTTTTTTTTTAATATCTTATTTTGAAAAAATTTTGATTTACAAAGATACTATAGAGAGGTATCACCCAATTCTCTCCAATGGTTACATCTTACATGATTATGTTGCATGCCATCGAGTTGGTTTAGACTCATAGTAACCTCATGTGACAGAGTAGAACTGCCCCATAAGGTTTTCTAGGCTGTAATGTTTGCAGGAGCAGATTGCTAGGTCTTTCTCCTGTGGAGTCACTGGTAGGTTCAAACCGCCAGTGTTTCAGTTAGCAGTCGAGTCCTTAACCGTTGCACCACCAGGACTCCTTACATGGCTATAGTACAGTATAAAACCCAGGAAATTGGCATTGGTACAAGGTATGTGTGTGTAGTTCTATGCCACTTTATCATATGTGTAGATTCATTTAACCAACACCATCACAATCAAGATAAAACTATTCCACCACCAAAGATTTCCCTCACGGTACCCCTTTCTAGTCACACACATACACCCCTTCTTTCACCATCCCTAACCCCTGGCAACCGCTCATTTGTTTTCCATTTCTATAATTTTGTCATTTCGAGAATGTTACATAAATGGAACCACACAGATATGACCTTATGAGATTGACTTTTTCACTCAGCATACTGTTCTTGGGATCTATCCAAGTTGTTACATGTATCAGTAGTTAGTTCCTTTTTATTGCTGGACAGTATTCCATGGCATGGAGGTACCACAGTTTGTTTGACCATTCACCTGTTGCAGGATGTCTGAGTTGTTTCCAGTTTCTACCTATTATGGATAAATCTTTATGAATATTTGTGTATAGGTTTTTATGTGTACCTAAGTCTTCATTTCTCTAGGATAAATGCCCAGAAGTGAGCTTGCTGAGTTGTATGATAAATATGTTTAGTTTTTTAAGAAATTGTCAAACTGTTTTCCAGAATAACTGTACCATTTTACCTTCCCACCAACAGTGCATGAGAGATCAAATATCTCTGCATCCTTACAATATTTGGTGTTATAACTGGTTTTTATTTTATCTGTTCAAATAAGCATATAGTGATACCTCCTTGTGGTTTTAGTTTGCATTTCCCTGATGGCTAGTGATATTGAACATTTTTTCATGTGCCTGTTTGCCATCTGTGTATGCTCTTCAGTGAAATGTCTTTTGCCCATTTTCTGATTGAATCTTTTGTTTTTTTATACTATTGAGCTTGGAGAGTGAGAGTTCTTTATATGTTCTAGATATGGGTCCTTTGTCAGCTATGTGATTTGCAAATATTTTCTCCCAGTCAGCAGCTTGTCTCTTCTTCCTCTTAAGAGGTTCTTTTGCAGAGCAAAAGTTCTGACTGTTGATGAAGCCCAATTTATATTTTTCTTTTATGAATCACACATTTGTTGTCATGTCTAAGAACTTTTCACCAAGCCCTAGGTGCTGGAGATTTTCTCGTATGTTACAGTTTTATGATTTTCAGTTAACATTTGTTTAAGGTGTGAGGGTTAGATCAAGGTTCTTTTTTTGCCGGTGGATGTCCAATTGCTCCAGCACCATTTGTTGAAAAGGCTACCCCTCCTCTAGTAAATTGCTTTTGCACCTTTACAAAAATCAGTTGACTGTACTTGTGTGGGGCTGCCTCTGGGTTCTCTGTTCTGTTCCATCGACCTTTCTGTTCCTTTGCCAGTACCACACAGTCTTATAATTGGGTAGAATGATTCCTACCATTTAATACTTCTTTTTCAAAATTGTTGTAGCTATACTAATGCCTTTCCATATCAATTTTAGAACAATGATATTTATGTGTACAAAAGGTCTTACTGGGATTTTGGCAGGAATTGTGTTAAACCTGTATATCAAATTGGGGAGAACTGACATCTTTACTATGTTGATCCTTCCAGTCCACAGATATGATCGTCTCGGTATTAACTTAGGCTTTCTTTGATTTCTTTCATCAGCATTTTGTAGTCTTGGATATATTTTGTTAGATTTATACTTAATTATTTCATTTCTTAAATTGATTGTTAATGCTGCTGTATTTTTAATTTCAGTGCCCACATGTTCCCTGCCAGTATATAGAAAGACAATTGCTGTTTGTGTATTGATTTTATATCCTGCAACCCTGCTGAATTTACTAAGAGGTTTGCTTGTTTGTTTTTTGGTAGATTCCTTGGGATTTTCTATGTAGACCATCATGTCATCTGCAAATAGGGATAGTTTTATTTTTTCTTCCTGATCTGTATGCCTTTTATTTCTTTTTCTTGCCTGATTGCACTGGCTAGAACGTCCAGTACCATGGTGAACAGCAGTGGTGAGAGTGGACGTCCTTGCCATGTTCCTGATCTTAGAAGGAAAACATTCAGTCTTTCGTGATCAATTATGATGTTAGATGTAGGGTTTTTGTAGATGATTTTTCTCAAGTTGAGGAAGTTTCCTTCTATTCCTGGTTTTCGGAGTGTTTTTATGGTGAGTGGGCGTTAGTTTTTAATCCATACGTCTGCCTCCCCAGCCAGATTCTAAGTTTCTAGAGCTGAGACATGGCATCATAAACATTTTGTTTTTCTCAGCACCGTGCTCAGTGCTTTGCCCTGAATAAGCACGGAACAAATGTCTGTGGGTTGCTGAAGCTTGGCCACCGATGGCAGATGAGCAGGGAGCCTGAGAAGGAACTCACCAGGGTACCTCTACCCAGACATTCTGCTCAACTGAGGCTGGATGAGAGAGTGTAGCTCCCCAAACCAATGCCACAGCAGAGACATGGAGGAGTCAGAACTGACTCCCCTGCGCTGCCCCAGATGTTGGAGATGAAACGTTTTAGGGTAAGTGCCAACTAAAAACCAATGCATTAGATACTATAAAATGAGTGAATTGTACAATATGTGAATTATATCCCAATAAAGTTGTTGTTTTTTTTGAAAAAGGTAAGTGAAAGTGGGCAGGGAAGGTCCTGGTACCCTCTGCTGGAGGACAGGGCACTGCCGTCAGTCAGCTCCGTGTCTCCCTGCCCACTCTGAGACAGTGAAGGCTGTGCCAGATGGAGAGATATATATGCTTTACTGCCTTATTGAGACCCTCTGCTCCTCTCCCCTTACCCTGATATTGTTGGGAGCAAGAGAGTATTCCTTTGTCCCCTCAGAAGAACTCAGAAACCTTCTTCGATACATATTGCCACTTCTAAAGCACTAATGTAAGAGTAAAGGAGCCCTGGTGGCACAATGGTTTAGTGCTTGGCTGCTAATCAGAAGGTTGGCAGTTTGAACTTGCTCACCGTCTCCCCAGGAGAAAGACCTGAGATCTGCTCCCTTAAAGATTACAGCGTAGGAAACCCTGTCGGGCAGTTCTACTCTGTCACGCGGGGTCGCTATGAGTTGGAATAGACTCGACGGCACCCAGCAACAACAACAATCTGCGAACGGTGAAATGACCTGCTTCCTGCCCAGTGAGGCAGCATCACTGAAACTGTTTTCCAGAGTCAGAGTATTTTCCACAGTCTGGAAGCTTTCCCAAGTACTATTTTAGTTTAAGCTGTTTCTCCATCCCCTTGACCCTGTCTGTGAGGTAAGAAATGGGCAGAAAATACTAACTTTATTTTTAACAGTGAGGAAATGAGCAAAAGAGTGAAAAATAGTTTCCCATCGTCACAAACGATAGTGGCATTAAATCTAGAATACGATCTTCTGGCTCCCATTTCAGCAGGCGGGACACTTGACTTGTGTCATATTTTAGTCCCTTCTTGTCTCACATGACTGCTGATTTCATGTATTTATATGTTCTCCCTTCATTTTAGACTAGAACAAGCAATTGTATCCTTCTGGTATTGAGAGCCTTCCAGATTTCAGGGATAATGATAGTAATAATACTTGTCATAGTAGTAGTTGTTCTCAAACTGTCTCTTCTACTGACATATGGTTCATTTCCCAGCGTTTGCTTTACTGAATTTCTTGCCCCTTCTTCCTTCCATTCCATGTCTCCTTTCCAGCATCTTTTCAAATGAGCTATCACAAAAGGCAAACCAATTTGTGTGGTATGTGTATACATCTGTTCTGACAAGGTTATTTTCCTAAGGGTTATGACATTCACATTATGACAGAGCAAACCAACAGCCAGATTCTGGTTGCAGAGTTGATAGCTTGTGGGTTTTACGCGTGATGACACTCAGTGCCCACATTGGGATTCTTGATTGTGGTGAGTCTTTGGAACACAATTACATCTTGTTTTAATTTCTTTTGCTTCCTAGGGCTCAAGGGTTCTTGTTGATGCAAGAGACAAGCTGGGCATTCCTTGGCAGTACTCTGAAAATGAGAAGCATGGCATGTTCTTAATGGCCTTCGAGAACAAAGCAGGGCTGCCCCTGGAGCCAGCCACCTTCCAGCTGTACGTCCCAGCCCTGAGTGCCCTCTGGAAGGACTCTGGTATCAGGGAGGCCTTCAGCCGCAGGAGTGAGTTCCAGCTGGTGAGTAGGCCCTCTCCGTAGGCCATATGGTTCTGTTCTACCTTCGGTTTTGTGTTAGTAGAACTTAAATAAGGTGAAGGAGGAGTCCTGGTGGCAAAGTGGTTAAGAGCTCAGGCTGCTCACCAAAAGGTCGGCAGTTTGAACTCACCAGCTGCTCCTTGGAAACCCTGTGGGGCAGTTCTGCTCTGTCCTATAGGGTCACTATGAGTTGGAATCAACTCAAAGGCACACAACAACAACAAGGTGAAGGAGTCAAAAGAAATAAGAGAATGTGATCTCCATAGAAAAGGAATCATTGTAATCTTCCAAAAGGCAGGAATATTGGAAACAATTATAGAATACAACTTAGTATCTGTCTTAGTTATCTAGTGCTGCTGTAACAGAAGCACCACAAGTGGGTGGCTTTAACTATCAGAAATTTATTTTCTCACAGTTTAGGAGGTGAGAAGTCTAAAATCAGGGTGCCGGCTCTAGCTCTCTGTCAGCTCTGGAGGAAGGTCCTTGTCTCTTTTCAGGTTCTGTTCCTTGGCTCCTTGACAGTCTTCATGTGGGATGGTATCTGTCTTCCCCATCTCTGCTTGCTTGCTTAATCTGTTCTTTTATACAGGTAGTCCCCGACTTACAACGCGGTTCTGTTCCAATGACTTGTCTTAAGTTGGTTCTGATGCTAAGTTGAATACCTCTTTTTTTTTTTTTTTCCTTTTTTTTTTTTAATTGTGCTTTAGAAGGCTTGCAGGGCAAATTAGTTTCTCATTAAACAATACACATTGTTTTGTGACACTGGTTGCCAACCCCACAGCAGGTCAACACTTCTCCCCTTCTCGACCTTGGGTTCCCCATTTCCATTTGTCCAGCTTTCCTGTCCCCTCCTGCCTTCTTGTCCTTGCCCCTGGGCTTGTGTGCCCATTCAATTTCATATACGTGGTTGAGCTATGTGTATTATTATTCGTTGTATGGGCCTGTCTAATCTTTGGCTGAAGGGTGAACCTCAGGAATGACTTCAGTACTGAGTTAAAAAGGTGTCCAGGGGTCATACTTCCAGGATTTCTCCAGTCTCTGTGAAACAAGTAAGTCTGATCTTTTTTTGTGAGTTTGAATTTTGTTCAACATTTTTCTCCAACTCTGTCCAGGATCCTCTATTTTGAGCCCTATCAGAGCAGTCAGTAGTGGTAGCTGCGCACCGTCTAGTTGTGCTGGACTCAGTCTAATGGAGGCTGTGATAGTTGTGGTCCATTAGTCCTTTGGACTAATCTTTCCCTTATGTCTTTGGTTTTCTTCATTCTCCCTTGATCCAGACAGGGTGGGACCAGTGGAATATTTTAGATGGCCGCTCACAAACTTCTAAGACCCCAGATGCTACTCACCAAAGTAGGGTGTAGAACATTTTCTTTATAAACTATTTCATGCTAGTTGACCTAGATGGTCCCCTGAGACTGTGGTCTCCAGCCCTCAGCCCAGTAATTTTATCCCTCGGGGAGTTTGGATGTGTCTGTGAAGCTTCTATGACTTTGCCTTGGTCAAGTTGTGCTGACTTCCCCAGTAAGTTTTCATTATTATTGCCTTTTATTATCAGTATCTTTATAAATCTGATCTTTATTTGTCTTTGGGGGTTGGCATGACTTCTTTTGCTAGATATATTGTTGGGAGCATAAGCAGTACAGGTGTTAGAGTTAGAGAAACTTAAACAACTCGGCTTCACATTAACAGCTGATGCTTCTTACGGTACGAAACTCTGAAGAAGATCACGCTATAGGCCTGGTCTGCAATGAAGTTGGCATCAGTATCATAACAATGAAGTCAGAATCATAATGACTGTCAGGCGGGTGTGCGCAGTTCACGGTTTAATTGTCATATGTTGTTAGGGTTGAACATAGACCAACTTTCTGTCCATTACAACTTCCAGCACCAACTCCATTGTAGGCCAGGCTATAACCTGCTATCCGGCAGTGTTTTGAACAGTGAATCATAAAATTGAACACCTGCAAGTGAACATCTGAGAATGCTAACATCAGAGCAAATTATATGCTGCAACACTGTATGTAGTACATATTGCTAACAGTAAGATGTACAGCAAAAAAAAGGACAGTTTTAAGTGTGAGTTATTGTAACTCGAATGCATTGTAAGTCGGGGACTACCTGTATATCAAAAGAGATTGACTCAATACACACCCTACATTAATACTACCTCATGAACATAAAAAAAAAAAAAACCATTCCCAAGTGGGATTATAACCACAGGTGTAGGGGTTAGGATTTACAACACATACTTTTGTGGGACACAATCCAATCCAGAATAGTATCTAAATGTGGGATTAGAGTTTAAAGGTTTTTTTCCCCTCATAAACTCACATGGTTTGAGAAAGAAGATTCTAGTCTATCTACAGCTTGGCTGGAAATAGTTGTTGTCAACTGAGCATTTACCAAAGGCGATAGAAGCATTCAGAGCTGATTATTTACAACTCACATTTAGTAAGTGTTCCGTCTAGGATAGTAGTGTAGCGGGGTGGTTTTGTCAGACTTTCATTGTGTGCTTCTTTCATTGGATAGTGTTTTAGAGCTGGAAGGGCATGCATAGCTTAGTAAGTCAAACCGTTTTAATTTCACAGATGTGGAAATATGCCCAAAGAGGTTGTGTGACCTACCCAAGGTCCTATCTTCTTGCTAATTATGGTCAGAAATTTGGGCCTGCAAGGCCAGCCTCTTTATTTCCTCCTGTATTCATTCATTCATTAACCATTTATGGAGCACCTACTGTGTGCTAGACCATATGCTGTATGCTGGGAATACAGTGTGAGTAAGACCGACCGTGGAACCTATCCTCAGAGAGCTCTTTTCATCTAGACTTGACATGGCTCTGATTGGGGTAAGATTGCCACTAGGTGGGTCACTTCCTTTGTTTTGATCTTGTGTTTCAAACAGCAAGACTCTTTTGAAGATATGGCTACCTGAAAAGTATACTGTTCTACCCATTGCCATCTAGTCTATTCTGACTCATAACAACCCCATGTGACAGTGTAGAACTGCGCCGTAGGGTTTCCAAGGCTGTAAATCTTTATAGAAGCAGATTGCCAAGTCTTTCTCCCATGGAGAAAGGTTTGAGCCACCGACCTTTCGGTTAGCAGCCAAGCACTTAAGCACTGTGCTTCCAGGGCTCATTTATACTGTTCTAGTCAATTACATATTTTTAAAGACTCTAATAACCTAAGGAGCCCTGGTGGTGCAGTGGTTAACAGCTACGGCTGCTAACCAACAGGTCAGCAGTTTGAATCCACCAGCCGCTCCTTGGAAAGCCTGTGGAGCAGTTCTTCTTTGTTCTATAGGATCGCTATGAGTTGGAATCAACTCAACGGCAACAGGTTTGGTTCCGGGGTTTTTTTTTTAATTGTGCTTTAGATGAAAGTTTAGAGCTCAAGTTAATTTGTTATACAAAAATTTATACACATATTATTACATGACATTAGTTGCAATCCCTATAATGTGACAGCACACTCCCCCTTTTCACCCTGGGGTTCTTGTGTCCATTCAACCAGTTCCTGTCCTTTCCTGCCTTCTCATCCTGCCTCTGGACAGGAGCCACCCATTTGGTCTCGTGTATCTGCTTAAACTAAGAAGCACACTCTTCATGAGTATTATTTTATGTTTTATTGTCCAGTCTAATCTTTGTCTGAAGAGTGGGATTTGGGAATGATTTTAGTTCTGGGTTAACAGCGTCCCAGGGCTAAAACTTGGGGGATTCCTCCAATCTCAGTCAGACCATTACGTCTGGTCTTTTTACATAAATTTGAGTTCTCCTCCGCACTTTTCTCCTGCTCCATCTGGGACTCTCTGTTGTGTTCCCTGTCAGGGCAGTCATTAATGGTAGCCAGGCACCATCTAGTTCTTCTGGTCTCAGGCTAATGAAGTCTCTGGTTTATGTGGACCTTTTGTCTCTTGGGCTAATATTTTCCTTGTGTCTTCTGGTGTTCTTCATTCTCCTTTGCTCCATGTGAGTTGTGACCAGTTGATGCATCTAAGATGACAGCTCACAAGCTTTTAAGACCCCAGACACCACTCACAAAAGTGGGATGCAGAACATTTTCTTAATAAACTTTGTTATGCAGTTGACCTAGATGTCCCCTGAATTGGTTTTGGGTTTTTAATAACCTAAAGTAAATATGACAGTGTTAATTTTTAGTACGTCGGTGTGATTGTACATGTGTGTTTGTGATTACTGTACTTGATTTTCTGTATTTTTCTCTTTTAAAAAAACTGTAGAACATTTTAATAAATAGGTAAATATTAGACCCTTATTGTCATTATTAGGAGTCCCTGGATGGCACAAATGGTTAAGCTCTCCACTAGTAGCCAAAAGGTTGACGGTTCAGACCCATCCAGGAGCATCTCAGAAGACAGGCCTGGTGATCTGCTTCTGAAAGATCACAGTCTTGAAAACCCTGTGGAACAATTCTACACTGCACACATGGGGTTGCCATGAGTCAGAATCTACTCAAGGGCAGCTAACAACAACACTGTCATTATTATCAAGATATACAATTACAGCAAAATTTAAAGAACGTAACATTATCAGTAGAGCCCTTGTTTCTGTTTTTGGATCTTTTTTCTTAGTGTCAAAAACCTTACCAACTTGATTTTTGCTTTTTTTTATGTCATTCCAGTCAGGGACGGAAACAAAAAGTGGGAATAAAAAGGCTATGTCCAGTGATTACCTTGTGACTGCCCTTTCTTCTCTGTGGGGAATATGTGGGAGTGCCGGGGTGATGGTGGTGGTGTTGGGTGCCATCAAATTGATTCCAACTTACAGTGGCCCCATGTAACAGTAGAACTGCCCCATAGGGTTTCCTAAACTATAATCATTACAGGAGCAGATCTCCAGGTCTTTTCTCCCACATAGCCGCTGGTGGGTTAGAACCTCTGACTTGTCAGTTAGCAGCTGAGCACTTAACCATTATGCCACCAGGCTCCTTACTGCTGGGGTGGTAGGGTTGTAATTCTTCTCTTTC